TCAATTTGGCTGTTTTCCTTAAGATTTTGGTCAAGAATGATAGAACACAAGATTGCGCATTCTTGTGAGTGACGACGTCACGTTCACAACGAATAGAGGAGATGGAGGAGACAAAAAAAAGACGCAGCCGCCATTTGTAAACAAATCGTAGTTGTCTCTTCATCTACTTTTCGAACCGAAAATTTAAGATCGAAGAAAAATTTAATATTACGCCCAGAAATAGCCAAATAAAGAAGAATAATGAAACACTGAGCTAGTAGAAATTAGTAACGCGAGTTCTTAGCAAATTGTTTCTGCATTTTTTATAGTTAAAAATGTTCATTTGAAAAAACTAGTAATAATTATTAGTAACTATTCGTACGAGAACAAACTTATCGCGGACAATTCTATGCTGACGTCACACGAACAGCTGATGCTGTCAAATTCGCCAAAACCAAAGTAGCGGTAGTGCTGAATGCGCCCATGGTACAATAAAAACAGGTAGAAGCCAAATTGACATCAAACCTACAAAAGTCAAAGTTTTCGGGAGAGTAAAAATAAAAATGAGCGTGTGTAAGGAAAAATAAAAAAATACATTTCACTGGTTGACGTTTTTAAGTATATTTGAAGTTTATTCTTCTTTATTTATTTTCTTTAGTTAAAATCTGATAAAACGTGTATGTTGTTTTCTGTTTTTGTTTTATGAGTTGCAGTGTTGTTGGAGGGACTTTTCGGCATAAGGGTCATAGGAACAGCACTTGGCTTCAAACGTGCCTTTCCTGTACCTCCCGGTGTATTTGTGGAATCTACTTCTTTAAAATGTTTAACGCACAGCACGGCAGCTCTGCCCACAGCTGCTTTCGCAACGTTCCTTACGCGAAGGACATTGAGGCACGTTAAAAAATTAGTGGTATCTGCCTTATATTTAACACCACATAAAACACAACGCTTCAGGTGTTGCATTTTTAACACATACACTAAGTATAAACCGCACAACACTACAAAAATTCAAATGCAAATTAAAATTTGTTATTAACGAACATTCAAAAAAAAACAACGATATGACATTCAAAGCGTAACGAAATATAGGAAATAAAATAAAATCAAGTTGAAGTTTAAAGGTTTGGTTCTCATAAGAGCAACGTCATTTTGGCTTCTACCTGTATTTATGTGCCTTGGAATGCGCCTCCTTTGTCTCTCTATATCGTGAGATTTTGATTTCTTATTTTTTTTAACAATTGGCAACCGTGTTGGCAGCTATTTAAATGAGTTGCTGAGTTCACTCAATGAAGTAATTTTGTAATGTGTTGCCACCACTAAAGAAATCCACCCAAAACAATTTTTGTGAAATTAATTTCAGTCTCATGAACTTTTTGGAAAGTTAAATATTTCAAAGCCTTTTTAACATTAAATAGCTCTTGTCAAATCCAACATTATGATTATGATTATGTAAACACCGCTATTGAACTGAATCATTATGTAACCTTTCCCCGAGACAATTCGATTAAAATTAAGTTTACAAAACTATCTCAGCGGACCGTGTTAATAATTCAATTGTCAACCTTTAATAGTCCGGCAACTCCCGGACAACTTGGAAAATAGAACGGGCAGAAAATTGCATTGGTGGTTTTTGGGCAGAGAAATTTATATTTATAATAAATGGAAATACGTGCGAAAGTTATGACGAATACGATTTTGTGTGCCAAATTGGTAATTTCAAACGATTGTAAAGGTTTCAAGCTGTGCGACTATTCAATGAAGACATACACATTTCGTGGCATTGAGTGGGTGTAGAGACCTTGAGCATAAAGTAAACAAATGTTTCGTTGGCGTAGATAACAATTAGCAACAATTGTTGATAATTGACTAATTGCAAGAAGTCCGTTATTTGGTTATTTCTAAATTGTTTCTTCAAAATCAAGATAAAGTCATCTAAGTGTAACGTAGAGTTAGGTGAATCTACAGAAATCTGTGTTGAACCAATGTATCTAATAGCATTGCTCAACAAGATAATTTACAGATGTAATCAGAACGTGTGCCCGATTAGTCATGTTTTTCACTAACTTTCTTTTATTTATGTCTTCTTTCTAGTAATCGTTATAGCATTTTGAAGTATCCACCAACTGCGCTGCAAGTTGCAATGGGCAAAGATCAAGATCTGCTGGAAGCAGCACGCATTGGTAATATTGCTGTAGTCGGCAAAATTCTTGAGCAGATTACAAAACGCAGCAGTGGGCCTTTCTCAAGGTTGTTACATCTATACCGAAATGAAATAAGCATGTATTTACATACATACAACTAACTTTTTAATTTTCGTCAAAAGCTTTCGTCGCAGT